AGGGAGAGGGGCGCGGCAGAGGGCAAAGAAAGAAGAGCACAGATTAGGCAAGAAAGATCAGGGAAGAAAGGAGTATAAATTGCAATTTCCTTGGAGACTAAAATTAGATACCCTGATCATCACTTTACAATTAAGCCAAAACATCAGATATTTATAACTTCCTGAAGCAAAGGTTCCCATTTTATAATCCTGCATTGAAATGCATGAACTCTAACTCCTTTTTGGACATTAGCAGAAGTTATAGGGACATTTACACTCTAAATAACAATTATGAGCCTAGTCCAGGGACCATTCATGTACCTCCACACTGAACAGAACAAAGGTTGTGTCCAAACTAAAAGCGCCACGCTTTTAGATGTGCATCTCTAATGACTTAGCAGAACCTTAATTTTATATTAATGTAAAATGTGGCATTTAAAGGAACTAATCTAATAAGACCTACAGCGTTTCAAGACACAGACATCTAGTCTCTGTGTTTTTAAAATACCAAACAGTTGCTCTGTTTTATACAGTGGGCTCAGAAGCACTATGTAAAAAAGAATTTAAAAAAGGGATTATCTTGCTTATATATATTCAACAGCCTTTTTAAATTTAAAACTTGCTTTGTGATTTTGCTCTAAATATTGGGGACACACCCATTCAATCTTGTATTGTCATCTTTCAGTTTCTGTTATTTGAAATTGGAATAATGTAACTTTTTTAAACAAAAAAAACAATAATGACGTAATTCTACTCAGATAGTGGTCAGTCTTGCATATATCACATCTGCTCCAGCATGTTATTAGCCTGCCTGTTGATCAGCCAGTCTTTCAAGCCAAGTGAAATCACCTTTCATGATCTGCTAGAAAATTAAAAAGCCTAATGATTTAGAAAGAGGAAAACATGTTAAAGAATCAACCTTTTAATTAATAATTGGCATAATAAAGGAAAATGATGGATGTACCTGAGCTTTGACATTTCCGGTACAAAATGAAAACCGTTCATTGTCAGTTCACTTGACATTATTCATAGACTTCCCTCCCCCTCCTCCTCCTCGCTCTCAGGTCACTCTGTGGCACCAGCGACAGCGTGGGTCAAGCGCCTGTCAACCCCTCTGACAAAAACAGCTCATGTTTCCCAACAATCAGCGGCTTGTTAGAGGCATCCGACACAGCCAAGGTGGCCTGAGACTGCGGTGAAACTGAACCTCGTGCTCCAAACAGGCTCCGTTTTATGTTTGAAGCTTTTATTTATCTGTTAAAGGGCAGTGTCTTGCAAAAAGCTGCAGATAAGAACACTGAGATTTCGTTTTAACGGTGATACGTTTCGTGGTTGGTTCAAATTCAACACAAGACATGAGGCATACAGAATAATGTAAAAGGTGAAGCTGAAGACTTTTTTAAAAAGTTCGACGCTTCCAACACAGTTGAAAGATAACAGTAGAGAATCAAAAATGCTGAGAAAAAAATCAGGAGTAACATAAATACACAGTGATTCCAGGCATCAATAACTTAAAGTGAGTTTAGATATGAAGTGATTAGTTGACAGGAGAGTCTAGCAGTTTAAATGTTTTACAGGTGAGAAAGAGCCTGAACTGTAACAGCTAAGAAAGGCTGATGAGATACACAGAAAAATGTAAGCATTACAAAGAAACACAGGAAAAAGATCTGACTCACATGGATGCAGTGAAATATTTGGATAAACTGAGATCTAGACAAACACAGAGCATTTCAAATGTATAATTTAAACATACAGACAAAACCGAAGTCAGAACAATCATGGCAGATAAACCAAACCAACAGCACATTGGAAGGAATTCTGAAGTTTTCACATTATTCCAGTGAAGCACATTATGCAATAAAAAAAAATAGATTGTGCTAATTTTTTAACTTATAAAACCAAGAAATAAAAAAATGATTAGCTTGTATTGCTAACAGGAGGCGAAAAAGGCAGCAATCATCTATTTCCATGATTTTTCGATTCGGATACCTCAGATAGGTAAGGACTATTGATGCATGGAGGAAGTGCATCAGCGGCGCCATCATACGCGCTTTAAGAATAGTACTGGCAGTTAGGAAGGAGGTAGGACCAGCAAACAGGATGCTTCCCAGCACAATTACCTCCAGATGTCCCTAGGAGCAATATGCCCATGATTCTAGGTGTAACAGACAGCATAGGTACAACCCACCCTACAGAGCTTAACATCCATCCATCCATCCATGCATCCATCCATCCGCTTTGCCCTTGTCAAGGTCATGATGGGGTCAGTGCCAGTGCTATCTCCAGAAGTCTATGGGCAAGACCCCCTAGACAAGTCAGCAGTCTGTTGCAGGGCAACTCACAAAGACACAACTATGCACGCACACACTAACACATAGGGAGAATTTAGAGAAGCCAACTAACCTGACAGTCATGTTTTTGGACTGTTGGGTGGATGCCGGATAGTACCCACGCATGCAAAGGGGTAAAATGCAAACTCCCTGCAGAAAGACCTTGGGCCAGGAATCAAACCTGGAACCTTCTTTCTGCAAAGCAACACTGCTACGCACTGAATCCTCGGAGCTTGACAAAATTACATTATTTCATGACATGTATGTGTGACTCATGCCAATGACCACAGCCTTATATGTTTTGGGTTTTATAAAGGAAAGCTTCTGCTGTTCGCTACCTTTGTGTAACTTTTTTATGTGTAGTTTTTTTTTTTCTGAAGGCTGTAGTCCTAATTTGACCAGCATGACTTACGTTTGTGTCTGCTGCATGTGACATCACGTGAATGCATGATGTCATTCGTAAAGCTATAGGCTGACCTGATTCAGCATAGTGGTCTGGAAGTCCTTTCTAACCTAGATACCCTGGATGGCACAGAAAAAGGTGAAGAGTTAGGAGCTACAGGTTGTGTTATTTGTTTCGAGCCCAGGTTGCAACCAGTTTACTCCTGTTTCCGGTGTGATGTGCATCAACTTTCCTCCCTGATGAAAGCGAACACAACCAAGGGTGTAATTTGTTAGGGAGTCAGGAGGGGTAATGATACTCAGCAAAATAGTAGCATGCTTAATATTAATTAATTAATTATGTAAACAGTGCCAATCTCATGAAAGAAAACATGAAGTGCATGTTTGTTAAAAAGATGCATTTATGTTCCATTTGATCTAAAATGGAACATAAATAATATATAAATAAATCTAAAATTAGATTTATTTATATTATTTTGAACTTATAGCCGGTTTTCTGCTACATACCTTTTTCTCTCTTTATTATATTTTTTTCCATTAAGGCCAGAATTTTCAAGTTCAGCAAATAAGGGTGTGAACAAGTTTATGTGGTATAAATATTTTTCCTAGACACTGCAATTTCTCTCATTTATTATCTCAATAATACCCTTAAAGCACTTCTAAGACTAAATCTATTCAATCAATTACATCAACCTATTAGCTCTTCAACTCAACAGTCATGTTGAGGGTCCTCTATCAGAGAGCGCCCTAAAGGCTCGTCTGTCACCACAGAGGAGGGAGGGCCGTCCTAAGTTACACCACCCAGTTCGTGTTCAGCTGAACTATTTTCTTGTTTTTTTTTTCTTTTTTTTCTGGATTAATCAGAAAGTTTTCTTGAATTAGGGAATAGTTTAAAGCTTTCAATTCTGCTGTCGAAATCAAATGAATGGATTTTAACAGACTTTTTTAATGTTTGAACAAGAACCCACTGCACAGAATTTGGTTAAAACACATTGAAAAGATGACAGAATTTACATCCAAATCACGTCTACATCTGGTTAAAAAGTGAAAAGCTGGGAATCAAGGGTCCAATAAAATCAAAATCCAGTTTTCAACGTTATTTCAAGATAAGTCATTGGACTAAAGTGGGACAAAATCAGACCGACCAAACAAAGCCCAATCTTCAACAACTACTCCTCGACTAAATAAAGACTATGATGGACCGACTATAGATTTAGCCTAAAAACCAAGATCTAAACGATGTCTTGTGTTTGAGGGGGAAGATCTTAAACATCTTCAGCCAGATCAGAACGGTGCTGCTACACTAACTGAAAGAGAAAGACATTACTTTAATCTTAATGTCTTTACATTGGCCTCTGGTACATTTTAAACTTGCAATCCTTACATTTAAGCCCTGTCAGGTGAAACCCCAATCTATATCTCTGACCTGCTATCCATACACCTCTTCTTACAGTTTCCAAGTCCTAAGTGGTTTCCTTAACATAAGACCATATAAAATAAGTTATTTAGAGTCTCCAAATTGCAGAATGACTATGTAACAGCAGTCAAAGCAAACAGGGCAGAAAGAAACAGCCTATTGGACTGAAAGGCTCTTGTTCACTCAGCTCCCCACACCTAGAACATGCTTAATTAAACATTTTAATTAAGCATTTTAATTAATTTTAATTTTAAACAAGCTTTTACTTTTAAACTTAAAATTCTCAAAGCTGGACCTTTTTTTTTTTTCCCGAAGTCTTTCTATTAATAAGTCCATTTTGTGCTGTATTTGTTGGTGCCCTTGACCAGGACTTTCTTGTAAATTTATTTCACTTGGAATATTCTTATTAAGGTGATGAAAATGCTTATATA